AAGTGCGTGACTGGAAAATTGGAACTTCCGTCATTTGCACGTAAACATTTATTGACACCTTCATGGGCAGGTATGTAGATATTCTAAAGAGACAATAAGAGAAAAACAACTAAAAAGGAAACATTAACACACACTTCATTTTTGTGTGGTAATGAAGGAATCTGTAAGTACAGTGCGGTGAATAACAAACTAGTGCCACTCAGCCATCCTGACTTATAACAAATAGGGTCTTCCCAAGTTGCTCTATTATTGCAGCTCTCTACCATTGTAAATTCAGTTTTGTAAATAGTTTTCATATTCAGTTGCTTACTATAAGAGTGGGGTTTAGAAATTACATTTTTCTGGAAACGCTATAAACAAAAATGTAAGTAAAATTTATTTAAATACTGGTTACGACAGAAATACCTCCCGCATAATAGTAAGACATTAACTGCAGGTTGCAGTGTAAATACTTTCTGCATAATAGTAAGACATTAACTGCAGGTTGCAGTGTAAATACTTTCTGCATAATAGTAAGAAATTAACTGAGGGTTGCGGCGTAAATACTTTCTGCATAATAGTAAGAAATTAACTGTAGGTTGTGGTGTAAATACCTTCCACATAATGGTTTGTTTAGCGGCATATCAACTCCTTATGGGTGATTTAATTCTTTCATGAGCATTAGTAATTGTAATTTCTTTTACAAAAATATAATGCTGGTAATATTTTGTACTATAAAAGTGTATTTTTATACTTTCATGATGTTTTGTTTTTGTTTGGTGGGGGTCACTATTTTCCCAGAGCTGGGCCCCTAACAGGGTGGACTCGGAAACATCAGCAATTAAGAGATGGCGCCACACTCCTCAAAAACCTCCCTTGTTTCCCGGTGTAGTTTTTCATACCCAAGACAGCCACATAATGGCAAGGCATTAACACGAGAAAGACACCATTGCCTAATTTCGCTAACATCACACAGGTGATAATTTTTGGCACCTATTTCTACTGCACTCTACATTACTTATCAAAAACTGTAAAAAAAAAAAAAAAAAAAACTTGTCTCTCTATATTTCTGAGATGAGGTATTATGTACACTATTTACATTATTCAGACTATTATCCTCATCTTTGTTGCCATATTTATCCGATTCTTCAGTGTCTCTCTATATTTCTGAGATGAGGTTTTATGTACACTATTTACATTATTCAGACTATTGTCCGCATCTTTGTTGCCATATTTATCACAACATTTCGGTCTTTGTAGGCTCCGGCCTTCTTCAGTTGGTTGCAATGTCGAATTTCAATTTCCTTTATTTCGCTCGCTAGGGTAGACTGTTGTATTCCCACATTCCATGTCTAATGAATGTCAGTTATCTCTTGTTAATATCTGGTTAAAGCGGTGGAGAACTTCGAGAGGGGAATGAAGGCCGGGGCGTACAACGGCCGAAATGTTGTGATAAATATGGCAATAAAGATGAGGATAATAGTCCGAAGAATGTAAATAGTGTACCTTCAGTGTCAATGACAGTAGCCCAACGGAGAAGGATATATTTGACACCACGTTTTAAAAAGAAAAAAAAATCACGAAAACTCTGAAAAGCTTTTTTAAACTTCATTTTCTTCTCGGAATGTTTTGTCACTTATAAAATATTATAATGAACGAAACAAATGTTGCCTGTCAGTTTTAAATTTGTTGTGCAGGATGATATGGAATAACGCGCACCCCCATTCTAACGATCTTATTTTTTTCTTGAATTTGTTTGCAGAATGTCGCTCTGATTATTCCTATTGAAAATAGCAGTTTTTTTTTCTTTTGCAAAACAAGATATTTTTTAAATATTTTTACTAGTTTGGTAAGTTGCTAGCAATAAACTTATATAGTGATGGTCCTTTCATGTCGCATTGGTTCATAATGAACGATACATTTCATTTTACACCAGGCATAAAGGAAACACTTCCGTGAGTGGATTCATGGTACTAATTCCTCATGTTGTGATAACCGCATTTTTATCACTTTCTGTTGCCATGCAAATCCCATTTTTCATCATCTATAATAATGTGATATAAAAAATGAACAGTTGGTATTCCTGGTTATGCAGAAATGAATTCACCGTTTTCGGTTCTAAAGCGAAATCGCACGAGAAAACCAAATTGCACATTTTCCCAATTAAATAAACTATTAAAGATGCATTGTCTCATACAAATGTTGATAAACTAATAAGTGCGGTTTTCTACCATTCAACATTCCTTCTACTTTGTTTGATTGACTCATGATTCATGGTGTTGAATTTCAATTCTAAACGCCACAATGTATGGTGTCTCAAGAAATGGAGGATTTCACATGCGTGCTGTATTTTACCAATTCGCCGTCAGCCTCAACTTTATTTAATCTAGCATGGAAGTTGGATAAGACGATTATTTCTTAACAGAATTCTTTTTACAAATTTGAGAAAGACATACATCTTCATATATTTTGAGTACAACTTTGAAACTACGTTTTCTTTCTTGGATGTAGCAGTTCGTACGGAATCTAGTTTCCGACTATGTTACAATTATCTATGAAAGTTTCGGTATAATTTTTAGATAAAATCCGAATTTGTATTTATACAATACCCAATCTGTCATGTTTCGTGTATTTTATATATTTTCATATTCATATAAAATATTTACCGTTGACATTCCAGTGCCAGCCATCTTCCAAATTTATCAATATTTTCCCTTAATCTACTATAAATGCTGCCACGGTAGAGTACTCTAAATTTGTTTTCTGACGGCACATATAATTTGGAGTTAAGAGGATGCATTTGTCATTGCAGTTGGGTCCCAAAAATAGAAATTATGTCTCAACATCATTACATGATGATGTTCATTATAATCATCAAAATATTTCACGCAGGTTTATACATGCGTGAAGTAAATTCTGAAAATAATAGTGTCTAACCAATCTTTCTACTGGCAGATGTCTTTATTTCAGTATTTTACTGTCCGGTTCATTCTTTTTTTGTTTTGTGTTTTTTTCTCAGGTAACAATTATAGCGCTGAAGTACCAATCATTCAATCTCTCTTTTTCTGGTGCAACGCAACAGTCAAATTACATAACTTTTGATAAGTGTGTGTGTGTGTGTGTGTTTTTCTCTGTCATTATTTTCCTGCTTTGTACTTTTTTCTATTTTCCGAAAAGTCTGCAGAACAAAATACGAATATAATAATAATACCACCGATCGAAATAGATATAGATAAAATCAGAATGAAGGGATAAAAAAGACAGTATAAAATCTCCACATGGCGAAAACCAGTTTATTAAGAATTACCAAGTAAAAAATAGTATAATATTCTCAAGAATTAATTTTATTTTTTAATCCGACATTTTTATTACTTCAAACGTTATTTTTAGCGTATACCCGTGTTTGAGTAGACGCGCCGTTTATTTTAAACAGCCTTTATTTCGTCTAACAACCTGCATACTCGAGAAGACTTAAGAAATAAAATTTCCTCTTCATTTTCTTTAAGACTTCTCGAATACACAGCCAATACAAAGCTCATAACATACTCACTGTATTCGGTTACTGATTGATCTTTATGCACGTAAGAGTAATTAATGATGGAGGTTTATGATGATATATAAGAAATATTACGGTTAACATTAGACATGAAGAGGTTAATATTTTAGTGGTCGTGGAGACATTCTCTAAGGAGTCTGTTTATAAGATAGTGATTCTTGGGAATAAACTGTCTGAAAAGAACTTCCTTCCTTCTCACTAACGGAGTACTAGTTTACATGACAGAGTGGCTCTTCGTTGTGATGTATAGAACTTGTGTATCTATGGAATGTATCTAGTCCGAAGATTTTCCATGGAAATGTCGATAAAGTAACGAGAGAATTGCGATATTTCGTCTGTGAGAACTGGGACGTAGGGTGGGCAATAATATATCAGAAGATCCCATAGCATTTCCACTTTGTTCTTTCATCCTCTTTTTGATTACATGGTCATAACATTTTCAGTTCATTCAAATCTATAGTTTTAAACAAATTCCAATGAATAATGACAGAAGGTTAATCATGTCTGTCATATATATTTCTTATATTCATTCTTAGTAGTACATTATATTCTGATAAAATATGATAAATAGTATATTTTCTCTTGCATTTAACGTCTACTTCAGTGAAATGATACAGTAATATGTAAGCCCGAAATTAATAATTTCAGTAATAATAATTAGCAAAACCGTGGAATATTCACGGGTCCGTCTCTACATGCTTAAAAGAATTAAATGTTTTAAAAACGTATTTGAAAAATTATTATAGCGTGTTAGGCTATATATGACTGTATGGGAAAATTGTTCAAGTGTCAACCATAGAGTTGCTATGAATCCAGCTATTGTTATTATTCTACGCATTTGTATGTTTTGGTTATCACTAGGGACTTGGTGAGAATAATTTCCGGCACATTTCTCTATGCCGTCGCAAAAAAACAGACAAGTCTTGGTCGTCAAAGCCGCAACACTGCAACGTTTTCCTTATGACCATCTTTATTTAAACAATGAGAATATCAAGTTTTTTTTTTCTCATCCAATGCTGTCCTCTTTAAAATAAAATATAATTATAATTAATGTTACATAGAAAATAATATTTTTTTATTGATGTTTCTTTCGCATTCATATGCTTACCTTAGTTCGATTATAACGGTAATCTAAAGTTTCTTTTTGTAGGAGGGTAGCGTGTATCAGACGTCGTTCGTTCTCTGGTAATTACTGACGTCGACGATAAGGTAATTGCTAATGCAAATTGCAATGGCTTCTCGTTGTCCGTGTTTTTCAAAATTTTTACAGGCCTACTAAAAAGAACATTCAAAGGAAAAAAAAACGTTTTAAAAGATTTTCATGTGTATTCAGGCAGACTAAAAAGCAACCGAAATAAGTCCAGCTTCGCATTCATCAGTCTTTCGACTCCATTCTTTCTAATCTGCCGCCTTTTTTCTTCAGGGTTGTTCTTTCTGTTGAACAACAAAAAATATTTTCCGCTTTTTACAAATTGTCATTGACGGCAAAATCTATTAGAGAATAAATGCAGAAAATTGGATGAAATAAAAATGGCGGAAAATAGAAAGAAAGAAAATTACGAAACGAAGAACGAACGAATGAAACGTAGATTATGAAGAAAGAAAAACAGGATGTATCTGAGAGAGTCAAAGAATAAGGATTGGAAAAAAAGAGGATAAATAGATCAGAAAGAATGAAATTAAAGATGAATTCAAAATCTTATAACAAAGACCGACTAAATAAATTAAAGAACAGAATATAAAGGAAAAACTAAAGAAAGAGAAAAGCGATAAAATTGAATAGGTTAGAAAGAATTTTTTAAAAATGTTATAAAAAATGGAGCAATGAACAAGTTAACGAAAGAACTGAAAATGAGGGTAAAATTTTAAAATAAAAACAATAAAGAAAAAGATGAGCGAGTGTATAGAATTCATTAGAAAGAAAGAAACCAAAAATAATGAAGGGATGAAGAAAAAGGTAAATAGCGAAGGAGAAAAAGAAAATAATGAATGAAAAAAAGAAAAAATAGAGAAAGGTAAAATGTAGTAAGAGTAAAAAGACACTGAAGAGATCAAATTATTTTAATAAAAGAAAGGATGAATGAATGAATAGAAGAATTTAAAGGAATATTTTATCGATACGAAAACGAAGCATAAATAAAGTGAAAATGTTATATGACGAAAGAAAGCAGAGGAAGATAATAAAGATATAAAAAATCATAATCAAGAGTTGAAAGAAAGGAATATAGAAAGAGAAAGGAATCAAATAACTAGCAAGAAGGAAAACTAAGAAATAAAAATGCAGGAAACAAAGGTTGATATAAGCGAATGTGAAAAAAAAAAAGTAGAAAAGATCGGAATTAAAAATAAGGAAAGTTAAACTCTTAAAGAAATGAACAAATATCGCAGTTTAAGCAACGATGAAGAAAGAAAAATAAAATCCTAATTGTCATGAGAGAAAGGATTACAAAAACATTCAATACGCCGTTGGATATAAAACGGAAGATGGCGGATACAAAGAACGGTGAAAATTGAGGATTCTTTGTTTTCAACCCATAGTAAAAAGTCACGTTCATGTGAGATAAGTGAAATAAAATATCCTCAACACACCATAATTCCAGTGACGTCGAGAGGTTTGGTGATGCCCGTGGCCAACACCTAGATTATGTGTCTCTAAGCCTCAAATAGTGGGCCTACTCCCGTCTGGCTTATCAAAAACACGGATCCACCTTTATACTAGCTTGTGGGACTGTAGGATGCGTGTACAACAGTTAACAAAGACAATTTCAAAAACTATTTTTTTTTAATTTTACTCTTTGATTGGATGCTCTGGGCCGTCGCACTCTAGGTCCCATCACTTTTTCATCATAGCCACCATTGGTCTATCTCTCTTTTCTTTCTTTTTTTTAATAATGTCAACAAGATTCGGCTTTCAAAGTCATCCAACGGATTTGTAAGAGTCTTCGAGACTGCCAAGTTTGCCAGTAATGACGAGTACAAATCTGATTTTCGGTTCTTGCGAGAAATCGGGACATTTGTCTAGTTTTTTTTTTTCATTCGTTCTTTCACTTACTGGAACAATTTCATCAACTGTCATAATTGTGTCTTGTTTTTAATGAGGATTCTACTATTTACAAGTCAAGATAAGGCGATCCATTTGAATTCTTGAAATATCAGAGAAATTCCTTTTAAATTTGTTAGTCAGATGATACCTTGTGATTACACTATTGGATTAAGAGGACAAGAAAGATATATTATCAGCCAGAGGAACGTTAATGACTTACAACACATAGCAGTTCATACTGGTTTGCCTTTGGGCACATCGATGTTGTATAATGCTTAGGAAGCTTGTCTCGCTAGATCAATTATGACTGGGTACCCCTTTTGGCCTTGTGACATATCTAAGCTACATTTATTAAATCACTATACATATTTTCTCTGGTTTACGGCATAACATACTCTATGTTAATCTGTCGTTTTGATAAACGAAAAGTACAGAGTTTGTACAGCAGTCAAAACAGATAAACACTCGTTTCATTTTAACGATGAAAAAAATGGAGACAAATATTTAGTTTGCACGGGTGTCAAACAAGGTAAACAGGTCGCCTTTTCGAGGTGTTACTATTCTGCGCATCGATGCAGTCGGCGTATTTCTGACCCCAATCGATAGAGTGACAGAAAATACTCTGAGAATGATAAATTTCGAAAGGAAAATTTTTAAAAAAAGACTGTCTTAGAGGAAAAATTAAAACAGACTAAGCATTGACAATAAGAAGACAAAATATTTAGTTGTCAGCTAAATAGACAATTCAGGTTGCACGGTACATAACGGGGATGGCAAAATCAAGTCGGTGCAGAGATTTAACTGAAAACAGAAAGTGTATGACCCAGGCATCCAAATACGCATAGAAATAGCGAAGTATTTCATTCAGAAACTGAAAACTCATTAAAGAATCCAGAAAGATATATAGAAATAAAGATAAGAGTGCTGGATTGCTATGTACTGTCTAGTGTCCTGTATGGCCGTGAAAGATGAGGAAAAAACCCTGTAGGACAGAGATGTCTTTCAACTGACGAATGCTGAAAATATGAGAGACAGAGAAAAGAACTTTTTAGTTGAATAGGAACTTCAAAGAAGCAATCTGCTTAGAAAGAAACAGCTGAAGTTTGGGGGGGATATTGAGGAAAGAAGACTTGGAGAATTAATTCCTCGTGGAGCATAGGGAAGGCAAAAGATGTTCGTGAAAATTGTTCGTAACCTATTTGATAGATAGCAAAATGAGATGAAAAGCGGTGCGACACAGTGAAGAATCAGTTTGTCAACCAACAACTAAGATTTGGAGAACCATAATGCCTTTTAACCTCTGAGGAAATGGCCAATTGAAAGAAGAATATTAGAGGAAATTGATAATCTGTACAAAGACAAATCAATGAAATATTTGTGGGTTAAAGTCGAAATATATTTTGAATTAAAGCAATTCTTTTTTTTATGAGTGAATATTGCATTAATATTTTTTTATAAGAATAACGATGATTTTTCCAGATACTCGTTCTATTATTTAACCCACTGTGGGGAGAGGGGATGGATTCATAGCGTTTCCAAGGGTATTTTCGTTTAAGTGAATTGTAATTCGAACTCTGTCCTTCAATTTCGTATTCAGGGTCGCTATTCATTACACGGCCGGCATAATATTGAAGAAAAATGACAAATCTCAATCGTTCGCACAATGTGTGGATCACATTTCTCTTACAGTCTTCCCTGATTTTTTTTTCTAATTTTTTGTTTTGCGCTTATATTCCTGAACCAATTCAATACATACGCTTATCATGCAGCTGACTTACAATGTTCAACGTGAATTTCTGGAAGATTTGGATTGCAATAGCTTGACTAATAATCTGTCTGCGGAGATGTCAAGGATGATATTATTGCGAACTTTTCTATGACCATGTGTTTTATAAATACATGTATGGATGGGGATGTTTACGTACATAACACATTAAATCCTACCGAGTATCCCAACCTGGAGTAAGATTTACCAAGCCAGTTTCACATATCATGCATATCTATAGCAGTGGAACTTGTTCCTCATTATGTGTCCGAGAAATTTCAACTGCTTTCTAATAATGTTAATGTTTCCTCTTTGTTTATATTACCTCCTAAACCTCATCGTTGCTCACATGTTCGACACATAGTATCCTTAGCACCCTTCTGTAGAACCACATTTCTCTTGCTTCGAGTCTCTTATTCATATTTACGGAGACTGCCAAGCATTCGCGGCCATACCAGAGGACAGATATCACGTAACAGTACAGTATTCTTTGATTTAATCGAGATTTTCTTGCTATTGAAACGCGTTTTTGGCCATCCCAATACGTTTTTGTATCTAGGGGTGGCACTTTCCGTCAGTGTTACAGCTCTTTGCAGATATTTAGATTTTTGTACCTCTTTGATTTTAGTATCCCCGACATAATTTGCATTTGGGGCTCATCCTTTTGCTGATGACCATGCATTTTGTCTTGTAGTTTATGCTTAGTCCTTTCTTCTCGCACCACTTCGCTACCTTCTGTAGAACGATTTGTAATTTCCTTTCTGTGTCTATCACTTATTTATTATTTCTCTAATTTTCTCTATGCTGAAATTGTTTGAGGCTGCCAAAATCACCATTACAGTTCTGTCTGGCCCTGCCACTTTGTTTCTGTTCAAATTGGCTAATGAAGCTTCCACTTCAAATTTTAATATTTCCGTCCCGTCGGTATTTCTGTGTATTGGAGGTTGTACTCATTCGTCGTGGAAAAGATCTCAGATATATTCGTGCCAGCGCTTAATTTTTGTTCTTCCTCTAATATGTCCTTGCAGCCAATACAAGCACATGACCGAAAATGCGCTAACAAACCGTTTAGAGACCGACCCATTTTCATAAACGGGCCAAGGGAAAATACATTAAGGATGAAACTGGGACTCCCCAGATGTTTTCTTGATGACCAAGTTTTGGGGCAATTCATAGTCATGCCGATTAGTCACTTTATTTTAAATTGTGGCTTTTGTTTATTTTTTTAATTATTTATTTTCAATTTGGTTGAATTGTCGTTTCCATTAAAAATGAACTACCATCGATATTGAGTATTGTACCTTGTAAATACATGATTTTTCTTTTAAAATGATAAAAATACTACACCCGCTACAACAGTTTCATATTAGAAACTTCAAACATAATTTGGTCATTTTATATCCTGCCACATTGTATTGCTATATGGCGAAAACAGCTTTGCATTTACGCTCGTCCTTTCTTATAGTTGCTCTGCACTTTGTAGTGAGCACTGTTAGACCGGAAGACTTTCGGTTAAGGGAATGAAAATTGTAAATACATGTGAGACGCCGTGTGGAAAGTCACGAAAATCATACCAAAGTTTGATTAAAGACTTGTGACTTAAATTGTGTGGGAGAATATATTCCTCAGTAGTTGGACTAGAACGAAATCACAAGACATTGTGATCGAGGTTTTTAGCGCACTCCACCCAAAACCGTAAATAAGATCTGCCCAGTTTAACACTATGAATGTTTTGATGTTGAGGAAACACAAATAATCAAATGTGTTGTTTTCTGTAAATGGGTTTAGGTGACATTCTCGAAAACGAGCATCTTACCTATATATATATATATATATATATATATATATATATATATATATATATATATATAGTAACTTAGAAAAGGTTAGTGAATGAGGAATAACCAAAACGGTGTTTGGAAATGAAATGCTAGTCTTTATAACATTAACATAATACAATACTAACCAGTGGCGTGGAGTAGCTAAACCACTGCTAGTGGTGGACTACATAGACAGCATATCACCCCATTTACAATAGTGTCCAATGTATTTATGAGGATTGGGACAAACCCATTAGTACTCATAGGTACGGTATATAGCAATATATATACTAGAGAGCTTTCATTTTGCTTGTTTTTTCACATCTATTTTCATCTTTCTATATTTCTCTTTCTTTATTCGTCTATCACACTTAGTTCGATCAATCAATATGAACAATCTATATCCTTCAGTTATATATATATATATATATATATATATATATATATATATATATATATATGTGTGTGTGTGTGTGCGTGCGTGCGTGCGTGCGTATCTTTATTTTTCAATCGGTGTACATTTATCTATCTCATTCTGTTCATGCCAGCGTAGTTACCGATATATCTGTCAGCCTTTCTGTCTAATGAGGGTATCAGACCGAATTATTAACTTCGGCAAATGATTAAATGATCGTTCCTACAGCAAGATGATAGCGAATCGATATGACCGACAATCAACTACACGAAAAATATCTCAAAAAAAGAAGGATCACGTATTGAATGAATGGCTGGCTCTCCCGTGAAAATAACTTCAGTTTAATCTGAATTCATCACACATTGCCCGTAGCCAATAACCTTAGCATCACCTGAAGAGGATCAGAGAATATATCGATCGATATGTTATTGCCACCCAAACTGGAAAAATATGTGCTAGAATCCATATAAAAAAGAAGAAAATCGCACCCAAACAACCAGCAAATAATAGTAAAATTGATCCACACACGCCATTGAAAAAATATCGTATAATCTCGCGGCAGTACGAGAACTGCACTCAGAAACCTGTCCAGGATTGACTCACTAAAACGATGCTCCTTCTTCTTCTTTGTATCTTTTCTCTGTCTTATTGTTTCTATCTTCTTGTCTTTCTTTCCTGAATCGTTTGGTGGCCAAAAACACTAAACAACAGTTGAGGTATATGGAGAAAGTGAACGCCATCATATTTTTGGCCGTTGTTGATGTTGTGGTAGGAGCCGACGGAGCGTAAATAGTCCGAGGCGCAGTTACGAATATTGCAGATGCGTAGAAGAAATTTGAAGACGCTAATAAAAATGCAAAATAAATAAATAAAACTGAGAAAACGTGTGAAAGAAAATGTGTATGGCTACATAGAAGTGTGTTGGGAAGAGAAGAAGAACAGGAAAGACTGAATGTTTCGGTGTCGATATATAAGTTCATATTATTTTTTATGAAATTCTGGGATAGGAAATTATTATTTACACTATTTATATTCGTAGTATTGTCCTCATCTTTGCTATTGTTATTACAACCTTTCGGTCGTTGCATCCTCTGGCCTGCCTCAGATCTATATACACCTAAGTAACCTACAGGGAATTTTGAACTGGACCCTTCATTTAACTACCCACTGCTCATGTCAGTGTTATCGTATAGTTCTTTTATTTAGTATTGTTATTGCTCACCCGTTTGCACTGAGTGAAAATATAGCCTGCCCGACCCAGGCACTGAACTTACAGTTACTATGTCACCAAATTCGCGAAACAACGCTGTTAAACTGACATTGTGTCTCGACTCCAATCACTTTCCCATCGTTGTAATTTACCTTCTATGTGCCTTTTCTATAGTTTATATCTGTTTTTAGACATTACTTTGGTCGGTACAGTCTCCGTGCTTTCACGTCTGCATGTGTGTGACCTGTTAAAAACATTATTCATAAATTCCTTTTGTTTATTCTCTATCATTTTAAGAAGATTTTGCTGCGACTGTTCTATCTTTCATCAACTTCAATTGTTGATGTAAAAAGCTTCTTTTTTAAAAATTACTGCTTCTGTAGGACCACATTCCTGTTTCTTCTTCATCTGGGAGGAGATTGTTCAGCATTCACTTCCATAAAGATGGACCGATTTTGAATAACAGTCAAGTACTTTTTTCTTTGTTTCTAACGAATTTGTCCTGTTTAAGTGATGGTGACATGACGGGCAGTTAAATCGGCTGCAACAGATCTTCCAAAACCAAGCGTCTAATTTTATTAGATCATCTGTGAATCGTGCAATTACGGCTCATCATTAAACATCCGGGGTGGGAATTAATCCTTTGAGGTTTACAATGCTATATTTGAAAAATTTGAACAAACGAAAGACAATAGATGTTCTCATATCTGAACTTCAGAGCAGTTCGGATATACATTATTCGGACTATTGTCCTCATCTTTGTCGCCATATTTATCACAACGTTTTGGCCGTTGTACGCTTCGGCCTTCTTCTGAAGCCTTTATTTTGCTCACTGGGGTATCCACGTGCCATGTTTGATGGATGTCAGCTATCAGTTATCTCCTGTCAATTTCCCTCTGAAAGTTCTCCACTGCCTTAACCGGTTATTGAACTCACACTTTTTGGATCCTGTCACTGGATCTAACCAACGCCTTTATCCACTGAAGGCCGGAGCATACAACGGCCGAAACGTTGTAATAAATATGGCGACAAAGATGAGGACAATAGTCCGAATAATGTACATAATACCTCATCTCAGAAATATAGACAGACTCAGTTCAGATATAATAGAACATAGCAATATATGAAAAATTAAGTGTTTCACGAAAGTCAATATTAATTTGCAATATTTAATCCTCAAGAAGTTTTATTTTCAATCGTCTTATTTTTTCCCATTTCGATAAAATTAAAGCAGAACAGCAAAAAGTAAGGCATTTCTGCAAATTTCGTGCACTTGTACATTCTGAACAAAAAGATTTCTCCATGAATTTGATGACCTCATCTTTCTCTATTGAGTCCGAGTCTTCTTCATCATATTTCATATTTTGACCATTATGAGAAGAATTTGCTTCTTCCTCAACCCAAATAATTTTGAAGAGATTCTACCGTTGAATTCTTTTGTAATTCATTAACATCTTTTAAGTCAAATGCGAGTATTCAGTGGATCATCTCAAGTGCAAGTTTTAGTATTTCGTTCCGATTCTGCAATCGTTTTTAATTCAACGAATTAAGAGCTTCGTTCAGTTTTTCAATAAATCTCAAATTTTTTCACGTTACGTCAGAAATTAATTTTCCTTTCTCTTTCATTTGAAGTTTGTTCTGTGCGAAACATTATAGGCTGAGAAATTTTAAGTTACTAACAATTAACTGAAAAGAAAAAATGTTAGAATGTAGCAAATTCGTACATCTAAATGGCAACACAGAGACGTTCGGATATGGGGACTTCTATTATCTACATTATTCGGACTGTTATCCTCATTTTCATTGCTTCCGACCTCCTTCGGTTGATTGGAATTTCCCACTGAACCATTTATTTCATCCAACGAAGTAGATTGTTCTAGTTCCACATGCCATGCCTCTTCCTGATGCCTCAGTTATTTCCCTTTAATTCAACCTTTAAAGTTTTGGTTCACCATTGCTGTAGCTTGATAGGGAACTCCCAACTTTTTGGGTTTAATCACTGGATCTAACCAATGTCTTCATCAACTAGGCCATGTGTCTTCGACGACCGAATAATATAAATAATGCAAGTAATCATAATACTTCATCTCTGAGATATAGACAGATGAGGACTTCTAATGTATTAAAAAAATCCTTGCACGCTCATCTTTTTTCTTTTCATAATTGCAATGATTATGCGTCCTTGTCCTTCAGGATTCGTTAGTGCAGCCCATTTCATTATCTATGATGATAGCGATTAATCTCATATGCGTGAACTTATGAGAATCAATATATTTAATCCTCCCAAAGTTCTTCAGTGAAAATACAATTCGGTTTATAAATTTCCTACGGTGCGTGTTGCTATTAAATCAGTTAAATGATATTTAAACTGCTACATTATTACTCAGATATTCAACAGTGAATTTGCTTCCGTTTCCTAAGGTGATGTACCTTCATTTGACCGGAAAGTTTCTTCCCATCAAATTTCGTCGAATGCCTCAAACTAATTTCACTAATTAAGTGAATCTATCATAATTAGTGTCAATATTTCATACCTTGACATCTCTTGGATTCAAATGAACTGAGGCTCAAATTCCAAACAATATTTCTATGTACTGCGTTTCTCCAGGACGTGGATATTAACAGCTCTCCACAACTTCCTATCATTTGTAGCTCATTTCAATGTGTTCGTTTTACTATCCGTCCCACTCCCTGTTCTGACATCCATTTACACAAGTTCATTCGGTGCCCCCCCTGTCTCTCTTGCCTCCAGTGCCCTGTGAGTGTCAAATCTTTCAAGATTAATTTCCTCATTATGCGTCCTATAAATTTCTAGTCTCTTTTTGTTTCAAATTCATATGCCCTCAAGTACTCAGGAGAAATCACTATGTCCAAAATTGTAAATGCTTAGATATTGGTGGTACCAGATATTCGAAACGAAATAAAAATAACGAATGCTCGAACAGTTTTGATAAATTTTCCACTTTGCCCATGAAGAGCATACATTATTTATTTTCCACCGTTTTCTTCGAAATAGTTTTTGCTTTTTAAAGAAGGGAGACGTCGGTACTACATTTAGTTCATACTTTTTACAATCCTCCGTTCTATTGACGAGTTCTTTGTACACATTGTATCGAAAAACGATCCACATTAGACTTGTAAAACTTTTGCAAATGTTCAAAAACTTTCATGCCAACCATATCGACATACCCATATACGTCTGGAGGGCGTACATATTGGGTGTCGATTCTCAATTGAAAATAGTGCAAAATTGTTTTGCATTATTTTTTTTTCCAAAAACGGTAAAGAGATTAAAAAGAAGAAAGAACTAAAGACAGCGTTTCCTAGAAATCGAAAAAGAAAAGGAAACGCCAAATCAGCATTCGATTAATAGCGATTTAAATTCTTCAGATCATTGGAGACTTATCGGCACTTGTGTAATTATCGACGGTAATTAAAAGAAACACGTTCTTTTTTTCGTCTATTGTCTGAGATTCTTTAGTAGAAAAGAAATGGTCAGAAAAGAGTCCGGCCTCTTGAAATGGATTCGGTGCGTGGAAGAAGGTCGATGTCAACGGGTTGGCCGCAAGAGAAAGACACAAAGAATCACTGAGAAGAAAGAAAGAAAGAAACATTCGGTGGAGAGGAGGAAAAAAGTAGCATTCAGTAGAAAAAAAAAGAAATATAGAAATAATTATTCAGCATAAAATATGAGAATTTAATATAAAAGAGAAAAGAAAATCAAACAGCAAAAAATGATATAAATATATTCAATAGAACGAATACGTATATAAATACAATATGAATTTAGATCAATAAATGAACAATAAAATAAGAAGAAATTGATATTTGAATGTTTTGCGTAGAGCAGTTGTCGCCTTGTATTTTTTCATGAGAAGTAGACAATAGGGAAAAAAAAGCAGTCAATGAAAATCGAATTGTACAAATTTGGTAAGAAGTGAGAAAACTGATGAGCGAGGAAGAAAAAAAAAATCACGAGAAAAGGGGTAGCGAAAGAAGTAGGCGAAACTGGGTTGTATGAAAAGAAAGTTTGAGAATGAAAGTACGAAGAAAGATGTTTTAATTGGACTGACGAAGTGCGGCTTGGCCTACATAGGAAAGAGTATGATTAACAAAGGCAAATAAAGAAATTATTGGCGAAATTAAAGGTAACAATGGAGCACAAAATTCTGTGTGAGTGAATGAATGTGTGAAATAAATAAATGAGGAAATGGACATTTTATAGAAATCATGAATGAAAAATGAATTCAAAGGAAAAAAAACAAAGACAAGCATTCAGCTGAAAAGAAGCACTCATTCGGAAGAAATAAAGAAGCATTAAAAATAGAAATAAAGAGAGAAGGAAACAAGCATTGACAAGAAAATTGAAGATAGAAAAAGAAGCATTCAATCGACAAATGGACAGAAAAAGATGAAGAAAGAAATGTACATTCATAAGGAGGAAAGATGCAATCAAAAAACAGATGAAGATAAAAAAAGAAAAGAACCCCAAAGACGAAAAAAGCTGACAGAAAGAGATAAAAGAAAGAAAGAACCATTGAAAGGAAAACTGGAGATATAGGCAGAAAGAAGTATGCAAAAGACTAACAGAAATAAATGAAGAAAGAAATACACATTCAAATGAAAGAAAGATGGATTCTAAGACAGCGATAGATAGAATTGAAATGACAAATGAAGATTCAGACAAAAGAAAGAATCATCTAAAAGAGAAACAAATAGATAAACCTAAAGAAATAGTAAAAGAAATAAGCATCAAATTGCAGTGGGTAATCATTCAGTAAAAAATAGGGGGGGAAAGGAAACATTTAAGCGAAGAACGAAAATGCATTCAATAAAAAGAAAAATAGTGCATTCGTTCGAAAGTAAAAAGATAAAGACAAAAGAAAGAAAGAAGGAAATAATGAAATAATCTTGTTAAAATAAAGAAGATTGAGCAACTCCATCTACGGGGGGGGGTAAATATTCCATCTAAATAATGAAAGAAAATAGAACAAACAAGTGAATTTCATCTGTATAACAAAAAATGAAAGAAAAGATTTAACAGAAACAAATAATCATTAAGTAAAGAAAACTATGTAAACATTTAATAGGTAAAAGTAAATAAGAAGCATATCATAAAAGAAAGGAGGAATGATTAAACCAGAACAAGGTAAATAAAGGATTAATGAATCAAAATTCTAAAGGAATTAAAGGATTAATGAATAAAAAAGGTGATTAAATAATCCCTTCTTTTAGTGTATTGATTCAAAAATAAGAAAAAAAAAGGGATTATTAAATCAATTGATAGGAAGGCTTTTTGAACAGAAAGAGAGAAAGACGGGGTCATTGAATTTAAAGGAAGAAAAAAGGGAGTAAGGGGGGATGAAATCAAAATTAAAATAATTTTGATTCCATAATCCTTTCTATGAAGGAAAACGGCTTATTGAATGGAAATTAAGAAAGAAAGTATTATCTAATCTATTGATAGGAAGGCTTATTGATCCGAAAGAAAGAAAGGCTGCTTGAATCAAAATTAACAAAGTCTGGATTCCTTAATCCTCTCTTAGATACAAATGGACTATTGTAGCAAAATTAAGAAAGAATGGGTTATTGTATCGAAAGGAAAAAAAATGGAGATTGAATCAAAGGAAATAAAGGATTATTGAATGAAAATGAAGGAGGAAAAAGGATTATTGAATCGATTGATAGGAAGGATTATTAAATCGAAAGAAAGAGTGATTGAATCGACAAAAAGGGGGCTTAAATCAAAATTATGAAATTTTTGATCCAATAACCCCATCTAAGGAGGAAAATGTTATTAAATCAATAGATTGGCATATTGGAACGAAAGAACGGGTGATTGAATCGAAAGAAATAAAGGGTGACGAAATTTAAGTTAAGAAAGATGGGATTATTGAATCAAAATTAAGAACGAAAGAAAGGGAGATTGAATCGAAAGAAAGAAAGAATGAGTCATCGAATTGAAAGAAAGTGTGATTGAATCAAATCTCAGGAAAAGGTTAATTAAACCGAAAGAAAGGATGATTGAACAGAATGAAGCGAAACAACGAAGTAAAAAAAAAGCATTATTAAATCAATGCATAGAAAGGCTTATTGAAATGAAAGGTTAAAAAAAATGTATGTTTGCATCGAAAGAAGCAAAGACAGAAAGGGTGACTGAATCGAAAGAAAGTTAATTCAATAATATCTTCTTTCTTTCGATGCAATCACCCTTTATTTCCTTTTGTTCATTCGCCCTTTCTTTCGATTCCATCACCATTTCTTTCTTTCCTTCGGTGCAATCACCCATCGTTCTTTCTGTTCAATAATCCTTCTTATCAGTCGATTCAATCTCTATGTATTTCTTTCATTTCAATAACCCTTTCTTATTTTGTTAGTTTTGATTCAATAATACCTTCTAGGAAGATAAAAAAAAAGATTATTGAATCAAAACTAAGAAAGAAATAGAAGCTTACTGAGCCGAAAGAAAGAAAGGTGGATTGAATCGATTGACAGAAAGGTTTATTGAACAGAAAGAAAGTTGGGTGATTGCATAAAAGGAAACAAAGAAAGGGTGATGGAATCAAAGGACAGAAAAAAAGAAGGGATTATTGAATAAAAATTATAGAAAATGGATTACTGAATCGAAATTAAAAAAGAAGGGATTATTTAATCAAAATTAAAATAATAACTAATTATTGAATCAGTTGATAGGAAGGCTTTTTGAATTGACTGAAAGAAAAAAAAGGATTATTCAATCTAAATTAAGAAGGATAAAAGTATTATTGAATCGATTGTTAGCAAGGATTATTGAGCCGGAAAAAGAAAAACTGTCATTGAATTCAAGAAAAAAAGGCGGATTGCATAGAAAGGAAAGAGATTGAATCAAAATTAAGAAAGAAGAAAAAATGATTGTACCGAGAGAAAGAAAGGGAAGCTGAATCGAATGAAAAAAGAAAAGGTGATTGAATTGATTGATAGGAAGGATTAATGAACGGAAAGAAAGCGTGAGTGAATCGAAATTAAGAAAAAATGATTATTGAATCAAAACTAAAAGGGGGAAAAATGATGATTGAATCAAAATTAAGAAAGAAAGAAATGAAGGATATTGGATCGATTGATAGGAAGGCTTATTGAACTGAAGGAAAGTGTTATTGAACCGAAAGAATGAATTAGTAATTGATCCGATATAAACAAAATAAGGGTTATTGAACCGAAAGAATGAATGAGTAATTGATCCGATATAAACAAAAAAGGGTTATTGAACCGAAAGCAAGAAACGTTTATTAAAACAAAACTAGAAAAGAATATTGAATCAAAATTAAGAAATAATTCTTAAATCGAAAGAAAGAAAAGATTATTAAATCATATTTAGAAAGAAATTTATAAAGAAAGGATTATTAAATCAAATTTAAAAAAGATAAGAAATTGAATCAAAATTAAGAGAGAATGAAACATAAAAAAACATGTATATAATGGACATGTTCGAAAGGAAGAAGATAAAGAAAACTTTCACTAAAAATAAAAAAGGTATTCAATGGCAAAAAAGAAATACAAATAGGAAGAAAACATTCAATAGAACAAAAAAAATGTTCACCAGAAAGAAGCACGAGATATTGTTTTTTTTATTTTTATTTTATTTTGGCGACTGCACAGTAGAGTAGGGCCAGTTGGACAACGTCTGTGAGAAAAAAAAAGCACCATGACCATGGGTCAAGAGGGTGGCTTCTGGAAGACATTATTTATAGCAACAGGTCTCTGCATCATGCCACATACGCCCAATCATGACGATCAGACAATTTCTGCGACAACATCACTCCTTACATCTGATCACTTAACTCCCCAAACCGCAACCCCGCTTGATTATTATGGGGGACCGCAGTTGAGCGAGGTAGCAACTTCTTGTAACACCAAAGATTAACTGATGGTAAGAGTTACGGCAGTATTCACCAATTTAAACAAGGACACCACCCAGAAGAGATACAAGGCAATGGCGATTTTATTGAATGAATTTATCTACTTTAGTATTTCAAGATATTTTTGTGCAATTTTGATAAATCTAATTGATAAAAAGAGATGTCAGTGTTATTTTCATTTTTACGTAATATAGACCACAATTTACTTATATATATATATATATATATATATATATATATTACGAGACAGAGATCCGCAATAAGGGATTATTATTTGCACATTTGAGAGTGAATTGTTACTTGGGCTGCATCCTTACCAAGTTGGACAAATCACTATGGGGTTTAAATAACTTAAATGTCATCTACACCAGCTGCCCCGTTGGTCAGAGCACTCATATATGCAATTTTGACAAGGTCATCTGTGTTATCTCGCAAGGCAATTATTGTCAGAACATTGTCTATTATCCCCAGCCCTTTCACAGAACAGTCAAGTCAAAGTTGATCAGATACTGAACAGCAATTATATATATATATATATATATATATGTGTGTGTGTGTGTGTATGACCTCAGATCAAAATGTAATTAAGAAAATAGGCAATGAAGCTGTTTGGCACAGATTAACAATGGACACTGTCCTACATACACACTAAATTATAACGGTTTCACTCACTTCCATTGTTTATAGGAATGCTTTGAAGGAAAGTGTGTAGAATGTGG